TTACGGTAGCGTTGAATATTTACGGCCTCAACTATGACGTCACCCCCCACTAACCCCCAGTGGTGATTGTGCATCTCCTGTACGTAGCGCGCTTACTCTAAAATCTTTTTCCCCAACTTTAGCAAGTATCCTATCTGCACACCTCCCTTCTTTACCAAAAGTATGTAGTTTTTCTCCCTCGGTATTGTATACCTATCATCGACGAAGACGTCACAGGTAAGACGACACCTGGGTAAACATTGGCAGCATTTAAACTTCTTCTAACCGACGCTCCACAGTGTACCCGAGGAAGGCCTATTAAGAAGGCCGAAAACGTTTGTACTCCAGTTAATAAGGCTAGAAATTAGTGAGAAAGGTTTTGTGCTGTTAGTCTTAGAAATAGTTCTAGCTACATATGCATAGTAGTGTTTATTGCATCCAATAAGGATGTAATGATTATTGGCTAAGCTTGGGATATTGTAGAAAAACTGAATGTGTATTGCTAACATAAATAAGTTTTTGGAACCTACCATATACCATGCATTTTAAGTTATTTTATTTTAAATTTTTATTTACCATGCATAAGTGCTATTTGTTTGATCTCCTAATGACATATTCAAAGTGTACTGCACATCAATGATGTAATCAGCATAGAAATCTATCACATCCAAATGAGCAGAACAATACAGCATGTGTCTACTCAACTTGCACTTAAATTTTATTTTAATTATTTGAATAAAAAATACACAAATAAAATTGAAGTGAAATATAACATTATAAATATTACATAATATAATAAAATGATCAATATATAGTAGTAAAAACCAATAATTGAGAATATAAAGGCTGTCATTTTTTGGGGTTAATTATAAAAGTTTAATTCTCTTAACACTAAAAAAATTGATATGCTTTCATTTTCTTAAAGTTATCTGGTGTACATCAATGTTGTACTGCAACTAATAATTAATATAATTCCTATTAATTTGTGGTTTTGGTAATTTGAGTTAAAAACAATATGGCCAATGATTTGCTGGATTATATTGGGCTATTATATGGCTACTATTTAATAATTATATCAAGACCCTTGATCAAAAATTGGGTTAATGGATGTTTATATTTGTGAAAATACACTAATATGATAAAATATAATCTTATTAATTTATTAATAATTTTATTTATGAAATATGATTTGGCTTTGTGTGTTAAATAAAGATGCAAAAATTTTTAGAGAATATTCTTGAATTATAGCATGTGTATTACTACTTCTGGTGCACTTTATTTATTTTATTTTCATTGACCAATGAGGATATAGTGTTTTTTCGTACTTTTATTGTTTAATTTAAATGGTTGAACCAACTTCTGAACTCTTGTAGAAAAGACGCTACACTGAAACATTATACTGTCAAAACAAGCAAATTGCACTGATGAATCAAACAATTTACTGAAGAATGCACAGTCAAATTGTTGTCAATTTTATTTTACATGAAACAAATATGGCTATTATCTCTTCTCTTTGTTTAAAAATTAAATTTTTAGTTAAAATCATTGGTAATTTTAGACTTTTAAAAGTTGATTTTACTTATTATATTAAGTTTATTTTATGTTTTAGTTTATTTGTTACTTGGGTGTAATTTCTCATAAGTAGCCTTCTGTCTGCTTGTAGAGTAATATCAAAAAAAAAAAAAAAACCAAATAGCACTGATAATAAAAAAAAATTCAAGGTTTTCAAGGATCATTTTTATTTACAAATTAAACAATCTTTTGGGATATTATCTCCCATTATCAGTTCCATTATACAGATTAGAACAGCATTTTTCTAGAACTGGTTTTTGTTTTTTAAAATTTAAATATATAT